ATTCCCCTACCGTCAGTGTGTTCAAGAGACAACTGGATTCTCACCCGCTGAAAGGCAGCCCGAACTGCCGAAGCCTGATCTTACGGATTACTGAAATGACTATAAATAAACTACTAACATGATATCAACAGATCCTTTTTGCGCATGAGACTTGGCCCGTATGGAAATGTTCACAGTCCGAATGCGGTACAGTCCGAACGCCTGTACAGTTTAAATTGAGTTTGCAGGGCTCCTGTCATTTACCCCAAATATGCTGACTGACCGATCTAACACAAGGGGTGCTGGAGTTTTATTTTTTGGCGTAGCGAATATGCGATCTTCTAATGGAGAGCAACTGTACCGCAAGACGAAGTTTCCCTGTCTGATTGTCCACACTCATCGTCACATCTTTTCATCTTTAGAGACATTTCGTGTTAGGTCAGCGTGCAGGATAAACTTTCAGCTATAATTTTTGTCATGGCTCTGTAGAAAATGCCCTGGTCGCGTCGAATGTCGCTTAAGCCTCCACATGCTACTGTTGCACTTATCGACGATTGCGCCAATAAAAATGCTCAATAACTATATGGTACTTCGTTTGATGGTCACTCATTATAAGGCAGCATTTGCTTTCTTTAACTTCCAGTGTTTTTGTAAAATTACTTTTACGCTTTAATACTAAAAAATATGGAATTCGTAAGGTACTCAGATGGTCAAACTTGACTGCAGAAATAACAGTCGCTGAATCATTCGAGTTGGTGCAAGAAAAGTGTTAAGAAAAAGTACTCCTTAGCTTACGGCGGTCGCACAGTATCACGCTTTATTTGCGTCTGCTAGTTCGCATAGGACAAGGCTAATGTCTCTCATGTTTTAACATCGTGACTAACAAGTCTACATATCGGCTGACCACACGTGTGTAGTCGTCGCTGACCCGAAAGAGCTGACATCGTTAAGTGACGCCACTCGTCTCCTTACGTTTTGAAAGACAATAGTCTGCTTATTCATTAAAGACGATTTAAGCGTCACCACGCAGTGTTCTCACGTCGCAGCGCGAACAATGTCAGGCACGAACGCGTTGACCATGTCTTTGGTAAAGTAAATGGGGCATTTGTGCGGTCGCATCCGAAAAATGCTGTACAGGCTTTGCGGCCGTGGCTACGGAACGATATACAACTACGTGCTACAAAGGCTATTCATGACCTCAAATATTTGACGTACCAACAGCCCCTGACGGCCTTGAATCTCTATCCCCCCTATTACCGACAGAACAGATGTGACCTTACAGCAATGTTACACCTGCTAAGAGGAATTAATCTGGATGTAGACCGGGAAACGCTTTTTGAAATGGCACCAAATTCTTATCTCCGACGACACGATTACCAGCTTCAGAAGGAAGTGTGCCACACAAATCAACGTTCCTCCTTTTTTCTCACAGAGGGTCATTCGCTAATTGAATTCTTCGCAGACGTATGCTACAATGTTCCCTACCGTGAGCGTGTTTAAGAGACAAATGGATACTCGCCTGCTGAAAGGAAACCCGAAACGCCGAAGCCTGATCTAAAAGAATATTGCAGTGACCATAAATATACTACTTGGATGATTTCAGCAGATCATTTTTGTGCGTAAAAATTGACCCTTATGAAATTTTCACAGACCGAACGCCTGTACAGTTTAAATTGAGTTTGCAGGGCTTCCGT